CAAATCAGGAGGAATGTTCTGCTAAACTTGGATGCTCAGCTTCGCTTCCCTCCACACCCCTACAAATGATTACAGTGCTGATCTGTTGATGATTTGTTGATGATCTGTTGATGATCTGTCGATGATCTGTTGATGATCTGTTGATGATTCGTTGATGGTATGTTGAAAGTCCCATGCTTTGTCAAATATTAGATTGCTTTACACTCTGAGATGCTCGAGACAGGCCAGAGGCAGCGCACAGAGCCTTGTGCTCAAAGAATTTCGGATCCAAATATCGATTTGTCCTGTCCTGCAGCAGGAAAAATGCCACATAATCCTTCACATCCTCTGGACTTTTGGTTCTGTCACTGAGTTCCTTGCCTTGAATTCTTTGTTGGTGGGGAACCAAAGAACTGTGTACGAGAAATTCAATGGAGCTCCCGCGTAGATTGGCCACGGACTCGACGGCTCCATGTCTACCTTGCAGGTCACACCAGGAAGATCCAGGAAGTAAAATGTCAATGAGGAAAGCTGCAGAAAGAACCGACAGAGGTAACGTACGGTATGGTCAGTACATGTCAATACTTGTCAATACAATACAATATAATAAATATATAGTTATATGTATATATATATACAATAATGCAGAACGCAAAGAGCAACAAAACGCCAGCAGGACAAGTGATCCGCAAGCGACCTCAATAATTTGATCATTGTTGTAGAAGAGGGTGAAGTGCCGGTGCGTGTAGATTCTGGGAAGAGGTTTGCCCTTGGCGGGCGTTTCCGACACGGTTTCACTTGTCTGAACAAGCAGGCACTGCATTATTTCCAGTCAGTCTTCCCAGTCTTCCCAGTCTTCCCAGTCTTCCCTCTTCTTTCCGGTCCTTTCTCTTTCTGTCTTCCTGCCTTGAGCTGCTTTGGAACGGGCGGTGCCGACCCAGACGGCATCTGAAGAGACTTGTTGTTGTCTCGGTACATCATGGAAAATCTACCTCAAAGCTGCGCGGCTGAATGCACCGAGCTTTGCAAGGCAAGCAGCGGCATACTGAGTGTGCAAGTCAGCAAGTCATTTAGCTCATGGCTGACGTCTACAGCAAACTTGGAGTGCTCCCCAACAAACGCCCAAATGGGCAAGTCATCTATGTAGAGCTGATACCTGGTCGGAATCGCCAGCACAGCAACATACCACAACTAGTGATGAAATCATCGCAATTTTGCTCTCACAGCGGGGATTCGCACCAGTAGTTGTCGTTGATCATTGTAGCCAGAGCCTCCCCACTTATCAAAATCATTCAAAAACGATCACTTATCAGATTGTGTTGTTTCTCACAATGCAGATCCATGGCAAACATCGTCAGAAAATGTGACAAATACAGTGACAAAATGTTGCACGCTTCAATGAATAGCTGGAGCTCTGCACATCCCAAAAGTGCCATTTATAGAAAAATAATCAGAATCCATTTGAATCCGATTGAGGAACTAAAATGGGACACAAATACATAAACATGCGCACACACACACACAATTCTTAATTTTAACATAAACATGCACCTGTCGCACTCTAACGTGGCGACATCTGCGACACGGATTTCAATTTCACTGATATATTTGACCATGCCAAGGCCTTGGCTTGCTCGTCTTTCAATCTCATGTTGCAGAGCGGCGTCTGCGGTTTGTTTTGACCGAAATGGATGTCCAGCCTCCATCACGGAGACAAAAGATATTTTTGACAAATTCAAAATAAGAACCTGCGAACAAACCTGCATGATATTGCTACTTGAATTTCGGGGTGACGTACCAGTTTGACTACTGAACTGCGACGCGAAGTATATCATCTGATTCTCGCAAACCTTGGCGATGAGAAGAAGGCATGCCCTTCAAGCGTCTCACCGATCGAAAGCCTGCAACAACAAAAAGGACAATGAATAATGACAACAACAAACGGCAAGGCCAGGCATCATTGTTCGTGCCACAGGGACAGGAATTTTCTGCGGTTGCATCATAGTTCATCTAAAATAAGTCGAAATTTGGCCTTTCTCTGAGGGCAACACTCTCCTTGCTCTACTGCAATGTCGTCGCCTAGGGACGGATCTTGTGTTTGAACAATGACGCGTTTGAACTAAGAAATGTTTGGATTCATCTTGACATGACTCTAGTCATTCATGGATCCAAACCAGCATGTGTCAAAAAACCTGGATAACTGGATAACATGTTTTCCTGAGAAATTGACCTTCTAGCTCACACAGGCCAAGTGTGCTATATTCGTACGTCTCCTGATTCCAAAAAACAATTTGCAACGCCATGCAACAAGAAAATGAATTCAAAAGAAAACACATGAAAGCATTTGGTCCTGTGGGTTGTTGTAAGGACCAACCTTGTCAGTCCACACTACCACATCTTCTCCCATCTTGTAGGCGTGCGTGTCTTTGCCTTCACTCAATACAAAAACACCGAAAAATGGCAAACATACTCCAAATCTGGAATTATGGATTCATGACTAAACCGCGCCTGCCCACACCATTGATGAGTCTGTAGCCACCAAAACTGCAACCGCAGCCACCCAGGCATGACCTGGAAGGGCATCACTCTAATTTTTGTTTCTTATGTCCTGCACGCCGATGCACACACAAAATGTCTGCGCCTGACGGCATTGCCACAAAGCAACTGCAGTGACAAGGGGCTACTACACAGGTCTTTTCACCTGAACTACCAACCCCAAAATCCCATTACCGGTCTACCCCTGAAGCTGCGGCGCAAAGAGGAATGGAAACAACATCCTATTTCAACACGCACTTACCAGTGCACATCGCCAGAACCCTTTTTTGATTCTGCCCGCAAGCACAAACACAAATTGCCAAACTAATTCGTCACCACAAAACGTGCCCAGTTTTTCGTCGCAAAACAGACAAGAATCCTGCAAATTGTTTGTTCTAGAAGGTAAAAAGGATCGAATTGCGTTTGTTCTATGTTTGGGGCAACGATTTAAGATCCCAATCAACAAACATGCCCTAACGCATCGCATCTGTGATCCACATCCCAAAAAATACATATGATTCGAATTTTGAAACAAAGAACTCCAGCACGTGCTGCCGCATTATCTGTCAGTATCTTTCCCGCAATGTCCTTATCTTGTTCACCATTGTGGTTGCAAGACTCCGTCCAAATATTTCGCCCAAAATGTTTTCACAAAAATCACCAACTACCAGTAGTACCGCACAAGGCGGTGGCGGAAGTTTCAAAAATAGAAAACCTATAGGAGAGGTTGGTTGTTGTGAATCACGGATGGCAGAGCGAAGCCACTGATGGACCGAAAGGTGGATGAGGTCTCTTCTCTTTCTCTCTCTTTCTGTCTCTTTCTCTGACCATCTACCTACCTACCCACCTATCTCTATGCATCCATCTATCTCTCTCTCTCTCTCTCTCTCTCTCTCTCTCTCTGTCGTGTAGTGCAGTGTGGTGTAATTAGTGTAGTGTAGTGTAGCGTAGTGTAGTGTAGTCTTATATAGTTGTAGTTGTAGTTAGTGTGACGTAGTGTAATGTAGTGTAGTGTAGTGTAGTGTAGTGTAGTGTAGTGTAGCGCAGTGTAGTGTAGTGTAGTGTAGTGTAATGTCATTAGTGTAGTCTAATGTAATGTAGTGTAGTTGCAGTTGCAGTTGCAGCTTTAGGTGCAGTGCAGTGTTATTCAGTGTAGCGTGGTGGGGTGTAGTGTAGTGTAGTGTAATTAGTGGAGTGTAGTGTAGCGTAGTGTAAATGTAGTATTGTTGTAGTTGCAGTTGCAGTTGTAGTTGTAGGTGTAGCGCAGTGTTATTCAGCGTAGTGTAGTGGAGTGTAGTGTAGTGCAGTGTAATTAGTGTAGTGTAGTGTAGTGTAGCGTAGTGTAAATGTAGTATTGTTGTAGCTGTAGTTGTAGTTGCAGTTGCAGTTGTAGTTGTAGTTGTAGTTGTAGTTAGTGTAGTGTAGTGTAGTGTAGTGTAGTGTAGTGTAGTGTAGCGTAGCGTAGCGTAGTGTAGCGTAGCGTAGTGTAGTGTAATGTAGTGTAGTGTAATTGAGTGTAATGTAGTGGAGTGTAATGTAATGTAGTGTAGTGTAGTGTAATGTAGTGTAGTGTAGTTGTAGTGTAGTGTAGTTGTAGTGTGGCGTAGTGGAGTGTAGTGTAATGTAGTGTAGTGTAGTGGAATGTAGTGTAGTGTAGTGTAGTGTAGCGTAGTGTAATGTAGTGTAGTGGAGTGTAGTGGAGTGACTATTATCGCAAACGACAAAACGCCCAAACAAACAAAAAACTAGACGACGGATGGCCCGAGAGCGTAGAGGAGCAGGGTCTTCTCTTGTTAGTATGGAGATGCAATTTTAGAAACAATATATGAAAGCTGTGTTATAGGCAGTCGAGAAGAGGAGTATCAAGACAAAATAGTGAGAAGTGCAAGACAATAGTTTGCATCGCAAACACTTTTACACACAGACGCTTTTACACAGACGCTTTTACACACAAAGCTTTTACCCACAGAAGCTTTTACACACAGAAGCTTTTACCCACAGAAGCTTTTACACACAGAAGCTTTTACATACAGAAGCTTTTACACACAGAAGCTTTTACATACAGAAGCTTTTACACACAGACGCTTCTACACAGACACTTTTACACACAGAAGCCTTTACACACAGGAGCTGCTTTTACATACAAACGCTTGTACACACAGAAGCTTTTACACATAGACGCTTTTACACACAGGCACTTGTACACACAAACACTTTTACACAAACACTTTTACACACAGACGCTTTTACGCGCAGACGCTTTTACACACAGAAGCCTTTACACACAGACACTTTTACACACAGACGGTTTTACATACAAAGACTTTTACGCAGAAACACTTTTACACACAGACGCTTTTACACACAGACGGTTTTACACACAAGCGCTTTTACACACAATCACTTGTACACACAGACGCTTTTACACACAGGCCGGCCCATGTACGCACAGCGAAGTCATCGTTGTCGTGGCCACCTCAGCAATCCGACGGGGTGGCGCGGCGAAGTCCTATTTCCATGTGACTCGAAACCAGCATCCATGAACATGTCATGAGGGCTATGTGCTTTGGGGCCCCCCAACCAAGGTGGTTTGCCATCTCCCCAAAAAGAAGTATAAACGGGCGGACCTGGCAGGCGGCGACCGTTTCTGGGCTGGGACACACACAGTATTACAATATGATATAAGTTGGTTCTTTTTGGGTTTAGGGTCCTGACTCCTGACTGTGACTGGCATGGAAACTCTTATCTTAACACTCATACATCCATCTCTAGATATTAACAGTCATACATCCATCTTTATATCATATCTCTAGCTCTATCTCAATATAAAATATATCGATTTGTCTCTTTGTGGTAGCAGCCTGCCTATCCATGTAATCCATCCCATCCCGGGGCCCTGACTCCATGCAAACCGATGCCTAAAATGAGTGAATCCCAGTGTAACCTCATTAATCCATTCATATCTCTTTGGGGGTAAAATGAAACATGCCTACTAAACATGCCAAACAAACAAGTCAGGATTTCTTAACACTCGCCGGCAAGACCTGCACATGACAGAGATGACCGGATAACAAACATGCCAAACAATCAATGGGGCACGAAATCAAAACATGTAAGCCAGGCCTGAAACATGACAGGGGTGACCGGAAAAGAAGCATGCGAAACAACCTCATTAATCCATTCATATCTCTTTGGGGGTAAAATTAAACATGCCTACTAAACATGCCAAACAAACAAGTTAGGATTTCTTAACACTCGCCGGCAAGACCTGCACATGACAGAGATGACCGGATAACAAACATGCCAAACAATCAATGGGGCAAGAAATCAAAACATGTAAGCCAGGCCTGAAACATGACAGGGGTGACCGGAAAAGAAGCATGCGAAACAACCTCATTAATCCATTCATATCTCTTTGGGGGTGAAATTAAACATGCCTACTAAACATGCCAAACAAACAAGTCAGGATTTCTTAACACTCGCCGCCAAGACCTGCACATGACAGAGATGACCGGATAACAAACATGCCAAACAATCAATGGGGCAAGAAATCAAAACATGTAAGCCAGGCCTGAAACATGACAGGGGTGACCGGAAAATAAGCATGCGAAACCATAAACAAGTCAAGCAAACATGCACACATCTGCGCGAAAGAAGATCTGGACACAAACCCTTTTAGACACAGACACTTTTACACACAAAAGCTTTTACATACAGACACTTCTACACAGATGCACTTCTACACGGAAACACTTTTACACACAAACATCTTTACACAGAAACACTCTTACACACAAACCCTTTTACAAAGAGACACTTTTACACACAAAAGCTTTGACACACAATTGCTTTTACTCAGATGCACTTGTACACACAAACACTTTTACACACAAACATCTTTACACCGAAACACTCCAAAACACAAACACGTTTACACACAAACACGTTTTACACACAGAAGCTTTTACACACAATCACGTTTAAACAGATGGAATATTACATACAATCACTTATACACACCAACATCTTTACACTGAAACACTCGTACACACAAACCCGTCAAAGACTTTTACACACAGAAGGTTTTACACACAACACTTTTACACAGATGCACTTGTACACACAAACACTTTTACACACAAACATCTCTACACAGAAACGCTCGTACACATAAACCTCTTTGCGTGCGAGAAAGTTACTCCAGCACACGAAAAATCGCAATTTTACCTCCGTTTTTGCCGATCGACCCTCATTTCGTGCGAAAGCGTTGCTCCGGCACACGAAAAATCGCAATTTTACCTCAGGTTTTGCCGATCGACCCTCATTTCGTGCGAAAGCGTTGCTCCGGCACACGAAAAATCGCAATTTTACCTCAGTTTTTGCCGATCGACCCTCATTTCGTGCGAAAGGGTTGCTCCGGCACAAGTCAAATCGCAATTTTACCTCAGTTTTTGCCGATCGACCCCTCATTTCGTGCGAAAGGGTTGCTCCGGCACACGAAAAAAAGCGCTTATTTTTGTATATAACCTCAGTTTTGTCCGCCACCCTGACCCTCCCATTTTCCGCCGTGCGAAAGGGTTGCTCCGCACAAGTCAAACGCAATTTTTCGCCTCAGTTTTTTTGCCGATGCGACGCCTCAATATTCCGATGCGAGTGGTTTCTCCGGGCCAAAGTCAATATCGGCAAATTTTACCGTGTACATTCATTATCTGTGAAGTTCAGGAAATAATTGTTTACACTCGAAGTTTTTTGCCGATCGACCCTCATTTCGTGCGAAAGCGTTGCTCCAGCACAAGTCAAATCGCAATTTTACCTCAGTTTTTGCCGATCGACCCTCATTTCGTGCGAAAGGGTTGACGTTTCGTGACTCGCCGCCGGCACCACCCTCGGCCTAAAGAGAAAAAGATAAAGAAGGCGAGGGAGAGAAAAAGGAGAGAGAAAGGAGAGAAAATGTGAAGGTGAGAAGATGTGAGAGAAGGTGTGAAG